GATACGACTAGACTAGATAGATAGATAGATATAGATAGATAGAGTAGTAGTAGAGAGAGAGAGAGAGAGAGAGAGAGAGAANNNGAGAGAGAGAGAGAGAGAAATAGATAAAGGAATAAATTAACATGGTTGAGAGAGCGAGACCATAAAAACAAGAAACAGAAAAACCCAAATCCTATATTCTCTCTATCTCTCACTAGATTAGAAAACCATTGATTCCAACATGTCCTCTCTCACTGAAAAAGAAAAGGCCCCAAATTTAAACAACATAAGATTCAGATCTACAACCCAACAAACCCTAGATCTGAAAGTCAAAAAACCCAAATCAACCCCACAAAACCTTACATACATGGCATTATAATGAGATCTAAACAAATATCATATATCATCATTCAGGTTCATAAAAAATATCATATATCATTCCAACTTATACGAAAATAAACCCCAAAAAACAAGAAATAAATATCAAACCATCACAGATTACTAAAACTTACAGAACTACAACCATAAAACAAGAAATAGAAAAGCCCAAATCTTGTAATCTACTCATGAAAATGGTGTAGAGAGTAGAGAGAGAAACATTGATTAATGGAAGATTACCGGTATATTTCCCACAAAAAGCCGACATTTTTAGAGAGCAGAGATAGAAACAGAGGGTCGACGAGATTTGTTTGGGGTTTTTAACAAGAAGAAAGGAATTACAGAGAGAAAAGAGAGAGAGAGAGTTATGAATTTATAAAGGGAGGACAGTAAAGGGAGGGGGATGAGGAAAGTCATGAAGCATCGATTATGACGGCACCCAGGTGCTGACGTGGCGCACCGGCTTTACGAATTCCGACGACCATGGGCGGTTTTCCTTAGGGTCAAGCCACTGATAATCACCCGGTTTTATCACAGTTAATTAAAGAACACCTGAACTCAATTATTTACAAAAGCATCCTCTCGTCCTTTTTCCTATTAAAATAAAAAAAACATATACGTTTATTTGTCTTTGGTATAAGGTTGTCAAAATTAATAATGACCATTAGATGGAAATTGGATGGCCGTATTCATTCTACTAATCAAACTCAAATTTCAAAAAAAAAAATTTGAATTTTGTAACAGACCTAAGCTATCAGATTTCACGTCAGATGGTTGTAGTACTTTTCACATCTTTATATAAAAATAAATAATCTCATTGTATACAATTCCCAAAAAAAAAATTACCAAGATGATTTTTTTCATTAAGAAAATTGACTCATTTTTTTTATTGAGAAATTTACCAAAATGTACTGACATTTTCCCATTGTTTCCAAAAACATTATCAAAATATATTAATTATTTGATATTTTGTCCATATTTGTTTATTCATTGTCAAAATATATATAAAAACAAATGATCTTGAGTCCGGATAGTTACAAAAAGAATAAATGTCCTCTAGTTTATCTCTCATTGAGTTTAGAGCACTTGTAAAAACATTAAAAATTATAACTAAGTTAAATAAAAATTATCAAAATACCTTCATAAATTTTAAAATTTTTAGGTCATTTTGGTTAATTTTTAAAATATTTTTTATATCTTTAACAGGACATGGTTGCTATGAGTCCAGGTAAAAATGCGATAACTCTCAAAAATCTATTTTGAAGATGGATTTTCAAACCTAACTTTAAAGGAGATGTAATCGGACATCATGACTAAAAAAAATCATTAAGAAATAAAATAATGATTTTATGAAGAAAACATTTGGATAGTTAATTTTAATTGTTTAAAAATGACCGCATATTTGCATCTATCTTTAAGATGGATGCTTTATACTTTGGGACCACATATTGTAGAAATGTGGTCTAGCTCGCATGAAACAATTTTCCCTTTAACAAATGTGAGATAGTGATAAGAATGAGGTCTTCAAATATTAGCTTAATCCCATCCATATTAATCTGATCAATCAAAAAGAAATTAAATCTGAATATAATATACAGTCTCAAAAATAGTCTTGAGTTTCAAATATAAAATACGCATAGCTATTTGTTGATTTTGACTAAAAGACATTTTTTCTAAATTTTTCTAATGCACTACATAGATAAGTTAATCAACAAAAAGAATTTTTTTCTAAATTTTTCTAATGCACTACATAGACAAGTTAATCAACAAAAATAAAATTTTCTAAATTTTTCAAAAACACTACATAGATAAGTTAAATTCATTTTCTAAAACGTAAAAAGAGACAAGCACTAGTTTTCCATATGAATATAATGCATTTCCTTTCTTCACATTCTTGTGCTTTTTATAAAAGAAGATTGTTTGATATGCCTGCAACCCTATCAAAATAAGTAAATCCCCCTTTCATAACTCATTGAAAATTGCTAGTCAAGTATTGAAAAACCCTTAAATCGATCATCTCATCTTGAACATTATGGCTATGAAAAAAAAAATAGAATTTCAAATTCTAAAAATAATGCATATTGTAATAAATTATTTAAACCGTCCATTTTGCTAAAATACATATCCTACAAAATATGTATATTTTATTAGTTTCAAATTTATTGTCGATATTAGAAATTAATTTTAAAGCCATCATACATATTAATGTCGCTGCTAGTACTTTTTTGACGAGAACTTGATATTACGTTTTATTTTGTTTTCATAAAGCCTAGGCTTTATAGAAACCTCAAACTTTTATGAAACCCCCATTCTATATAAAATAAAATCATTTGGGATTTGGATTTGCATAAGAAAAATTGTTTCATGCGGGCTGGACCGCATTTCTATATATATGTGGTTCAAAAAGTATAAAGCATCCATCTCAAAGATGATACAAGTAGGTGTTCCATCTAAAAAGAATGGAAACGAATGGTCCAAATGTTTTTTCACTAGAATAAATAATCTTTAGTTTTTAATATTTTTTTTTTATATTCATGATCTCCATGTAAGAGATTATATGTCTTTAAAATTAAGTCTTAAAATCCATCTCAAATATAGATTTATTAAGGGGCCCGCTTTTCTACATTGCGGGTTTGGCCGCATAAAAACTGGATCCTTACTATAAAACTCTTAAAAATGATGGACTGTCTGCTTATTCGACTTTTCTTGGTGAGCAATTAACCCTACATCTTAGCTAAGGGGCAAAACCGCTTTTCGTGCGATTAAAACCGCCTAACTAACCACCTGCCGGAATTAAAACCGCGTGCGTGGACTAAAACCGAATAAAAAGTAGCTACAAAAACCTGTGGTATACACGAGTTGTGTACAATATATGGTACACAACGGCAAATAAGATGCTACTGTTGGACATGCTTTCAATGTTTCGCCTAGTATATAACTTATATATTTCTCTTTATCCAACCGTCCATTCTGACGTCTCTCTATTATTTTATTTTTAATTTTTTATATAAATTATTTTGACATCAAATTTTGGACGTCCAATCCTCTATTAAACTCGCACTAGCGAAAAATATAAAAAAAATATTTTCAATAAAATAAAATGATCAAAATACCATTGAATGTTTCAAGAGGTATTTTGATCTTCATATTTTATCAAAAAAATATTTTTTATAGGTATGCCCCAATGAGAAGATGACACGTACCAAAATTCATATTCATATAATTTTTATAAATAAAAATAAAAATAAAATATTTTGAGACGTTGGATCTAAGATCAAATGGTGAGTGACTCTCTTGATCAAAATGGGACGGCTGGATAGTAGGGGAAGCATATAGGGGAAGTATAGAAACCTTTCCCGCAACGGTTTACCATTTAACTTGATTGATATTTAAGGAAAACCTTTGTATAGATTTGATCTCTAAACAATCAAATTAGAGCTTACCACTAGAAGAGGTTATTTTGAAGCCCAAATATCTTCAAATTAATTATCTAGACATCAAAATACATGGACATGAGAAAAAAAATGGATTTCAAGTTTTTGAAATAGTAAATCTTGTAACACATTTTTGGATTGTTAATTTTCAAGATTTTTAAGTTTTCAAAGATCTCCTCGATGTACACTATTTTTGAAGCTTTAAATTTTATAAATAAAGATCAAAATATTTTTTAAGGCTATCACAAAGATTTCTCGTATTGAAACATTATTTCTTGATACTATTTGAAGGTGCACTTTACTTTAATAGTTTAGAGCATTGACTATATACAAACCACACCCGATATTTAATAATAAAAAAGTATACAATGAGACTATTTATCTTTGGTACTAGATGGTGACAATTAATTTTGACCATTAGATGCAAAATTGGATGGCTACATTTATTCCGTTGACCAAGCTCAGACTTCAAAAGAAATTTTCTCAAACTTTGTGACATATTCCAGCTATCAGATTTTACATCAAATGGTTGTAACTAATTTTTAACTTTCTTGTATCAAAGTAAATGGTCTCATCATATACAATCTCATTTAATAAATAGTGTGATTTACATATATAAGGCGTCAATCTTTGTTTTTTGGGTATTAAATGAGTGGGGGAGAATGCCCCTACATATTTTCATATATTTACAACCCTATAATAAGGTAGATGTGCTAAATCATGAAGTTTAGGTAAAGAAAGCAATTCTGACGGTCTAGATCACGAAACTATGACATCAGAGAAAAATGTTGTCTTTTCGGTAAATATATATGCTACCATGTTAGCCTCTCGATAGACTAATTAAATAAAGCATGACTTCCATCTTTATTAAAAGATTTGCTTTCATGATAAGAAATCTCTATAATGAATTAAAAATCTCACTTGAATTTAAGTATAAAATTTAAAACTTAAAAAATGGTATAAATATTGCATATTGATAAACACCTGAAAATTTTAAAAATAGATAACCCAAATAATGTATCAAACATGCACTAGTTTAAAAACTTCCTATCTTTGTATTTATATCCATACTTATGGTTTCCCAAAATCAAAATTTCTCCGGTGGGTTTACCAGATGCGCCTTTTTTTTATAGTACAAGGTTTAATACCTTATTTAAAATTTCACTTCTTGATTTTCAGCTCCTATTCATTTTTCATTAGATAAGTTGTTTGAAATTTGATTAAGATATGATACGTTACTCCACAATTAACCAAAAGACTTGAAAGAGGTCTAAATATCATATAGGTATGCCCCGGGGTTGGGTTAGGCTGGTGTTTTGAAACTCATAATAGGGCTTAGACCTTAAACCCATTGTACGATCTAGATCAACTGAGCTAGTGAAGAATTATTTTAAAATATAGTATGTTTAGTTTTGGAAAATTGATTCATGCGGGCGGGACAACATTTCTACACTATGAAGTCCCCAGGTATGAAGCATCCATATTAAAAAGGGATGCAAATAGGTGGTCCATCTAAAAACAATTGAAACTAATGGTCCAAATGTTTTTTTCATAAAATTATTGCTTTCATTTATTTTTTTTTCATCTCCATGTTAGAGATTACATGTCCATAAAAATTAGGTCTGAAAACCCATGTCAAAAATAGATTTTTAAGAGTTGACTCATTTCTACATGGACTCAGAAACCGTGTCCTAATAGTTTTTGCATGCGTGTGCATTTTTTTTTTTTGGAGGGGAGGAGTCATTGGGTTGTGAAAGATAATGTCAGTTCAACCCTAGTGGGTCTGAACCAGACCAGTGTCGAGCCGTCAAGACCCAAACTCATGCTTCATGGGTGGCCATCTAGTGAAATACATGGGCTCTAGAAGTGTTATTTTAGAAATATAGTACATAAAGAAATATAAAAATTCATCTAAAAGTTTCAATGTTTTTTTATTATTTTTTATTTTTTTGATAATTCCGTGGGAAAAATAAGCCCCGCAACAAATATGTGGTATGCCACCGCCTCGAAATCAGCCCTTTTCTCAAAAAAAAATAAAATTCCAATGTTGTAATATATATTATATATACTCAACACGTG